ACTACCAGTAAATCAGTGTAATGAGATGTATTCACCCTATTTCGTGTAAGGTCATGAAGGACTGGTAGTACAATTTTCCCACAATCATATGAGTTGAGCTGACGTTTCCATTCAATTTCACATAGCCTTGCTTTCTTGGGTGAAATGCAGTTTCGACCTCGCCTCGGTCTTATCAACACCCACAGCGGGATTCGAACCTTGAAAGTGCAGAATGGGAGCTTGACATGTCAACCACTCGACCACATTGCCACGAGCACCCTTGAGTCACAGGGCATAAGTGAATTTCAAGGAAGGCCAGACATCTTGTCACATCATATGATTTACTGGTGGTCTCGAAATCCTACTCTTATACGAATGCATGACTACAGACAAGATGAGTTCTTCGAGCGGTCACTTTGACAACACGACCAAGTTGCGAAACGAGGTCAAACCTGCGATTCCTGTCTTCCCCAACAGGAGGAGAATGTGCGCCAGATTGAACGTGAAATGATACTGTTTTGGTCGTCAGTAAAGCTGGTTCGTGTGATTGGATGCATCCTTACAGTAAGTCTGCTCCCAAGTGCCGGACGAGATATTTCCCTCTCCATGGCAACAGGTTACCTGAAGCTCCCGGTCACCCGCTGGAATTAGAGAACGAACGAGTCTGCGATCAGCCCCAGCGGCCTGGCGACTCGATCGGGTCTCGTTGGTGGCCGAGAGATTTAGCATTCCTCCTCCTCCTCATCGTCATTATCATCATCCTCATCATCATCATCATCATCATCTCCACTTTCATCGTCATTATTATCATCATCCGACCAGGATCAAACTGTAAATTCAGCCCAATTCGGCATGAAGACAAGATGAAATGACTGCGAATTTATGCAGAGACATCAAGTCTTCTCGTGCATTTCGTGGGGCTTCATTTCTTAATCAGTCATTCTCTATACATGAGCATGCATGTTTTGAGGATTATTTTACTTTTTTGGTAGGAAAAGTTGGCTGGAAGCAATTCGGGAAATGGTCTCATTGTAAACGGAAGGAGGATTGCCACGTAGAGGAGACTGTTGTGTGGTGCGAAGAATACATATTGTAGGAAATAGAGCAAAAATCTACTGAAACAAGATAGTAGTAGTATATTTTTGGTCTCTTTCGTCTGATTATGTCTGTGACGGCGGTACCAGAGTCGCAGGAGGATGGACTGCAGTCTGTCAGACACTTACATTTGCATTGAGCTGGTCGCATGAGAGGATGGACGGACGGGCTAATTTTCCCATAATCGCACATGTTTCAATACAATTTCACAAGCCTTGCTTCCTACTCATCTGATTGTGGGAAAATTCGCTCATCATTATTTCGTTGACTGGGATAGCTTTAATTTGCGTTGAACCGACGAGGGGGAGGGATTCTTTTGTAAATCGGCCTCACTAGACACTAAAAGAGGCTTGTCGTGAACTTGTGACTTCTGGATTAGACGAAAAAGACCTCGTCTCATCGTCCTGCCACCCAAATCGAGTCGAGTTGGCATCTTCAGAGCCAGAAATGACAATTCACCAAAATCACTAAACCGGCTGAACTCCTATACTTTTATGTGAATAGGTCTTGCAGACTACCAATAAATCACATACATTCATACGTATCCTCTCAATTTCGCATAGCACACCTTCCCAAAAGCTATTCTCATCCGGTCTGGATTGGACCGCAGTACAAAAAAACGGGACTCGAACCACGACAGTTCAGCGTATGGCCTCGATACGTTAACCACTAAGTCACACAACCACGGGTACACTTGGCGCATAGGGAGGATGTGAATTTCAAGCAAGACCAGGCATTTTTCGCCATATCACATTCTGCGGTGAGATTGCCGATGAAGCAAACTTTTATCTGCTCTAGTAGTCGAATACACTACTTATTTCTCGTTTGTAAGTAGGCCATCGAGGCTGCCAGCAAATCGGGTATACGAAATGTGCATAAATGATATATGAACTCGTACAGCTTACTTTGACGATGCGAATGGGGCATTCCATTATTTGGATTTCGGCTCTGACAGGACAGACGCCAGCTCTTCTCCTCGCCGCCTCTCCTCCAGTCCAGCCTGACAAGCTGTCAATCGAGCATGAGAATGATTCGACCTCGTCTTCGCACTTTGCTCGTGTTAGCACGGTTTCGATAGACGCACCCTGTCCTGCATCCTCTGCCCATTTCCAGCCTCGGATCGGGCATTTTGGAAATTGCAAGTTCACGCTCCGACGCCAGAAATGGTCTTGATCACTTCAGACTTCGTCCAGGTCGGCCAAACGCCCTCAAATAGCGCGCAAGGGGACCACGACCAAACTAGAGGATACAGCACCTCTTCGAGTAAACTGTGACTGGGGCGTTGGCGGCCAAAGTGATTCGGGAAAAAATTTGGGTTTGGGAGATCTCTTGTTTCATAATTGTTGTGCTTACTTCCGTTTGGAGTGAAAGTGTCTGATGAAACGTTTGGAAGGTCAATTCCACCAGAAGATGACATTCATGCTGACGCGGTTTCCGAGGCAATCTCCTTCAATTCCGGTTAGGGATTTGCCGGTCAGTTTTGTCGACTGGTTAGCTTGGATTTGGTTGTGACGATGATACCCTCCATGCTCTGATCATGTTCGTCACGTGACGCACGACAGCTCAGCACCTTGTCACGGGAATCGAAGGAGATAACCTCGGAAACGGTGTGACCATGCCGTCGTCTTGTGACGGAGGCGACCTTTGAAGTAAGCACAACAAAGTCATTTGGACAAAACAGAATGGTCGCTGTCATCTTCCCTTACGCCCATCCCACTATTCTCGTGTCTGCATTTCTTTTTGCCTGCTTATGAATCTACGATTGACCGTATGTACATGTGTTCATTGGCTTGTCATTTAGTTACGAGGAAAAGTTGGGTTTCGAAGAATCTCTTGTTTCATAATTGTTGGGCTTACTTCCATTTCGAGTAGAGGTGTTTGGTGAAGAGATTCAAAGGTCGGTTCCACCAGAAGATGACGGTCTATTCGTCTTGACCAGCTGTCGATGGCTTTACTGGCAGATTCATGCTGACGCTGTTTCCGAGGCAATCTCCTTCGATTCCGGTGAACCCGTGCTGAGCTTTCGTGC